ATTTTAAAACTAGGCAAGGAGATGCAAATAAATCACCACAGCTAGAAAGAACATACTAAAATTAGTAAAATTACAAAGTTTGGTGGCGAAATGTTGTAAAATGCGGAAAATATAGCCTTGTAAAGTTCGCAAATTTGGCATGTAGTAAAACACTGACTACCGGAACACTGGAACACCACCGTAACACCGGAACACCACCATTTTGTTTAGGGTTAGGGTTAGGATTAGAGTTTGGGGTTAGGATTGGGGTTAGGGTTAGGTGGTGTTCCGGTTGTGCTCCGGTGGTGTTCCGGTATACTTTTGTATTGCGTGTACTTGGTATACTTTTGCATTTGGTATACTTTTGTATTGCGTGCGGAAATTCCTACCACATTCCTACCACATTTGGGCCGAAAATGGTAGCAATTTCCGCACGCAATACAAAAGTATACAAAATTTGAAAATTTTGCAAGGCTATATTTTCCGCATTTTACAACATTTCGCAACCAAACGTTTCTAGCTGTGGTGATTTATTTGCATCTCCTTGCCTAGTTTTAAAATAATATAATTGGAATATAATGAGAATTGTCTATTCTCTTTTACATGTTTTTACGTACACCTCTCGCTTACGAATTCTCCCAAGACTCTAATTCTAATCCCAAAGCTCTTCCTAACCCTTAAGGCATTATTCTAATCCTAATCTACACTTTAACCCTTTAAGGCGCACTGTGTCCTAATACAGCATACCGGTACTTTATTATTTTATTCAAGGGGGAAGTGCTTGCACTTTATGGGCTAATCAGATTATCTGCTCATGTGTCTTGTTAACCCTTTTTAATTTGCTAACTTGCAATGCACCCGAATGCACCCTACTTTGTTATTTTACTCTGTCTAACGCCAGACGGTTTATTCGTCAAGGGGATTAGTGCTGGCATGTACTGAATAGATTAATCCTACCATAATCCCAAAATCATCATAATCCTTAAATAACCCTAATCCTCTAAACATAATCCACATCCCAATCCTAGCCGTGATTCTAATCCTAAACCACAATCCTAACCTCCTCTAAGCATAATCCACATCCCAATCCTAGCCGTGATTCTAATCTTAAACCACAATCCTAACCTAACTCCACCGACCTGTAGTATTGCTTCAACCAGAGTGACAGTTTTACCAGTGCCTGGCGGGCCAAAAAGAACGTACGGCATTGGTCGAGACTGGCCAATCAAAATCCTCGATACAGCAGCACGCTGACGTTCATTTAGCTTTGCATTGAACAGCCCTTTGTCTTTCTTCGACTCTTGTGGTAGTTTTGGCACGACTTCACGTGGAAACAGAACTGATAATAGGAAAAGAAACCGAATTGTCAGAGGTCTGCATGTATATAGTTACTGTACAGCTAAGAGGCTCTTTGTATGTTTGTTTGTTTCGCAATAGTTCGTCTGTTTCCTCCTCTAAGCATCAACTCTATACTCACTACTCAGATTCTTCTTTTGATGTATAAAACAAAATGCGCACTTGGAAAACGTATTGCTCTAAATGCCGTTCTTTCAACTTAAGCTATGGCTCTTAAGCTGTCCTATATTATATACACAGTATAATGTAAATAGTGTTGTAGCCCTTGTCTTTAATTTATGTCTACTAGATAACTTTTTGCCAGGTTGGTTTTCACATGGGACTCATGTGCTGTTGACTATATCTTCAACCATATTTAAATTAAGTGTTGCCCAGTTTTTTTCCAAAAGTTTATTTGTAATCATTTTATAGTACTCATGGTTGTGAAGTTAATAAATAATTAATAAATAAGAAGTCGGGCTGGCCCGGCTATCCAGTTATCAGCCATACGGCAAAGAGCACTTGCCGGTCTATCTCTAGAAATTTTCTTACCCTGATCTCCTAAATATTTTGCCGATTCAACTGCTTTATGAGACCTTCTCAGCGTAGTTCTGTAGATAAGGTAGAAGAGAAATATATTGACTTTTCAAAAAAATGAGTTGTTTCGTATTTCTGCATGGTCCAAACTCAAACGTCAAGAGAGCCCAGTTACATTTAGCGTATGAGTCACAATTTAGGAACAGTTACTATTTTTAGACTTTTAGGGTTATACGATTAGGGTTTGGATTTGGATTAGGGAAAGTGTTAGGATTAGGGATAGGATTAGGGTTAAGTTTAAAATACAAAAGAATACAAAATTACAAAAGTCTAAAAAGAGTAACTCTTCCTAAAACGTGACAGGTACAAGGATCCTATACCTGTTGAAAAAGAACATGACATTGTACGAGTCCATATCATACGTGGAGTGAAAATCTTCGTGAAACTTCAGCAAGACCTCGCTACTCAGTACCTTAAAATATTAACTTAGGTACTCAGCTTATCTTAATTAAACATCTTTTATTTCACAATTTAATTCCAGTTTATTGAAGAAGACGCGTGCATACCTCATGAATAAAGCCTTCATATTTTGGAGAGTTGGTTGAAGCTCCTAAATGAAACAGCAAATCGTATTAAATCGGATATATTCTTCGTAATAATAAACAAGTAATATATAATATATAATAAACAAGAAAGCGTTCATTACCGGCATATTTTATTACGGAAAAGTATGCTGAAAAATGAGGCGCTATAGCCAAGTTTTTTCCACAGAAAACTCACCGCTAACACACAGTATCACTCGATCGCCAATCAGAAGCGAAGGTCTTCCTTCAGCCAAACCAGGGACAGCGAGACCCAAAAATTCTCCTGCAGGTTTTAACGACACCTAAAAACATCACAACGAATAATCACGGATTGATTTGAAGACAAAAATTATAATTGAACCATGGCACTGTGACCGGTTGTATAGCCCCACGGACAGAAAATTTTCTGAAAATATCATTGTTAAAAGTTGAAAATTTTTAACTTCAAAATTTTTTTCCAACGGAAAATTTGTGTGGCCAATCACATTTTACAAATTTTTTTTCTGCGGAAAATTTTCCTGAGTGGACATGGGGCCTTATAAATGGACGTGGTTGCGGTGAAATTTGGTTAGTACGGCAGTTATGCAATCAGAATCGTGTGTCTTAGAGTTAACTTTAAAGTTGGTTACAAACGAACGAGTTTTGAAAAAGCGATGAAAAGCAAAAACTTGTCATAGAAAATAAACAGAAAAACTTTACGCGTCTGTAACTGGCTTCACCAGTTCATACTCTTTTGGATTCAAATTTCCCACCAACCTGCTGCAAGTCAAATTCACGCATTTCTAGTTCCATTTGAACTTCCTCGGAATGTAATAAAGCTGAAAATCTCTCTTTGTAGTTTCTTGTTGAAAGAGGCTAGAAAATAATCATAATGACCAGTTCAAAACTTCAAATATCAATTACAATAAAAATGGTCATCAGTCGTCATACCTCTGCAAGGCTTGGAACCAGACCACATAAATCCATTTTATTCAAGATGTACTGCCTCAATGTTCTTGGTATTTCGTATTGATAGAGCTTCGTAGAAATATTGATTGTTTTTTGTCTGAAACAAAGAATGATGGAAACTTGAGCAAACCGAATTCAGCTTTTCATCTTCAAGTTGTTAGAAGAAGATATTTTGTTAAACATTTCTTGACAGTGATGGTGCTGGCGCGCTGCCAGACATTTCATTTCCAGCACTGGTATACATGCCAAGTTTCATCAGGAAAGATTAACATTTGACATCAGCAAACTATTTTAGTTTTTGACCTCCAATTTGGAGGACAAATAGACCTTACCGATTATGTCAGGGGCAGATATAAAGATTATATTCCCGTGTTTTCCTGGACGAATTTGTTTGATTCTTGCTGTTCTTAGCATCTTAGGCTCAATATAACAAAATAATTTTCAACCCTATACTTCCAGATGATCTTGATACGCGCAAAAGTACTGGCACTAGTTGTCAAATAGAAATCCATTTTATGATTAAAACAACTGAATATCTTCTGTAATATACTTTATTTCGATTGCATATTTTTGTCAGAGCTATAGTTCTCATAAGCAAACATAATTACAAAATTTCAACTAGTTTCATAAAGAATAACGAAAGATATAATTGACTGAGTACATCAAAATGGATTTCTATTCGGACAACCCTTTCTGAACGCTGATTGGCTAAAATACGAACACGAGATCATCTGGTTAGCACAAAACATGAGTAAGTATTTGAGATGAAAATGAGGCCATTGGGTAAAAGAGAATAATCGGTATATAGGTCTATTTTGCCCTCCAACTAAATCTTCTCACATCTTGCTTGGAATTTTTGTCATCTTATATACTAGAATGCCATATATTATTTGTAACGCAGGTCGAGGTTGTCTTGTGCTGGGTTTAAGTTTATCGCAATGTGAGGCACTATATACGTTCTGTGAAATCTACATTTGCAGGAAGTTTTATATTTGACTTGCACAAGACATTTTATTTTTGGATTTGCTGCCAAGGAAGAGACATATAATTCGTAGGCATGACTTACACTTGCAATTTTTGCTTGTCTTCTTCTGATCGATGTGAAGGAGCAGATGAGTTGAGAATGTTGCGAGTATATGTACCCAGAACTGAACATTCATAGCACATCCACTCGTTCACATCGATCAGAAGAAAATCGCACCTAAAATCACAGCAAAAATTACTAATGTAAATGGGCCTTCAAAGAAGTGTTTCAAAACTGCCTATAGGTTTCCACAATGTATAACCTCACCCTATCAAGATAACAATGGACCAATCCTACATTAACCAAAATTTTGATCTCAACAAGTCTAGACAAAATTTTCATCACAGCTTGAAAGAGCATCACAAAATTAGCAATATTCCAAAGTTTCGTTGCAAAATGTTGTAAAATGCGGATAATATAGCCTTGTGAAGTTTGCAATCTTCAGTCATTTTGTATTACGCGAGGGAAATTTTCCGAAGTGGTAACTATTTCCCGTTTGTAATACAAAATGACTGAAAATTACAAACTTCGCAAGGCTATATTATTCGCATTTTACAACATTTCGCAACGAAACTTTGGAATATTGCTAATTCTGTGATGCTCTTTCAAGCTGTGATGAAATTTTGTCTCGACTTGTTGAGATCAAAATTTTGATTAATATGGGATTGGTCCATCAAAGCAACTTACTTAAACATAGGTCTTTCTCCAGGAATGACCCACTGTTGGTTGTTTCGAGTTTCAAGTACTCTGTTTAATGCATCTTTCTTGTCAATGAACTTTCTCTTATGATATGGAGTCTTCGCGTCAAGTAAATGTTGTTGCTTATCGCGTACGTTGGCTGTGAAGTAACGACCAATTTGAAACTCTCCGAAATTAAATGCGACAAGTTGATTAAATTCACCTAACAACCTAAAGAAAAAATGTTGGTTTGATCAATGAATTCGGTACCGGGTGTCCCCCCAAAAAACTGGACACTGTTTGCATTGATGTAACGTAAAAGCTATAAAAGCTATCGCAATGAAATGAAATGAAGATCATTGCATTCAGAAAGGACTAACTTAGATTTTGATATATAGCACTTGAATTTACATGTAATATTGACTGCGCTAGTGATGTTTGAACGTTGACCTACTGTTTTTGAAAATGCCAAAAATTATCATAAAACAACCTTATAATTACCGATGTAGTTATACTTGTTAAATAATAAATATTTCTATTTTGGTTGTATCTCGCTCAATATTTTTTTTTTTCGCTCAATATTGCATGTAAATTCAAGTGTTATATATCAAAATCTAAGTTAGTCCTTTCTGAATGCAATGATCATTATTTCATTGCGATAGCTTTTACGTTACTTGAAATCAAACAGTGTCCACCAGTTTTTTTGGGACACCCTATACTTATATTTTGTTTGTACTTGAAATATATCAATTCTGCTCTCCTTCAGGCTCCACTCTAAGCTTTCAAACAAAGTTATTTTTCCTCAACCTGGTCTACTTTATAGCCTGGTTGTTTTCGAAAACGACATACTACATGTATTTCGTAAAACTAATTTAGTGATTTGCCATCAAAAATCTTGAAGTTATCTTGCTGAAGAATCAAAGCAGCGATACATTATAATTTGGTACGTACAGAGCTCACTTGTGAGTTGCTTTCTGATAAACAATATATACACACACTAGTTAATTTGGATGACTTTAAGATTCCCTAGATCGCTCCCCACAGCCGGCCCAGGGTCTGAAATTTGCAGTATCTCGATATCCACAGGATACTAAAATTTGGTTTTGGATACCAAACTGTGAAAGACTTGTATCCCGACTGGATACTAAGAAAATTTCAAACATTAGGAAAATGTTAAGCACCTCTGACAGTCTCCTGATAGCTTTTGAATACTATGAGTTTGCCACCCAAGCCTTTCCTCATATTATGTGCATATTTGTGGATTAATGAATTGGCTAGTTGTTGACTGTTGAATCTCCTGTTGTTATTGTAATATGCAACAGTGACAGTTATGGAAACTTATTTGGATGGGACACTGGGTATAATACTTATGGTACTGGTAACCAGTATCCAGAAGTGGGATACTGCATTCTCAGGGGGGATACTAAACTTTGAATCCTGGTATCCCAGTTGGATACTGAGAAAAATATAAATTTCAGACCCTGCAGCCTACTTTATGAACACAGCCACCTTCTCAGAATAATTCTGAAAGCCCTGATGAAGCACGAAACATCATGTACAGTAGTCTTCACCTTGAGTTGACTGTAACTTTCAATTCTATTGAGCTCTGAGGATTGATCTGAACATTAAATTGAAGTCTTCCTGAATCATTCATCCCATCTTGTGAATCATCCCCCATCATTTCTTGCCCAATGAAACTAATTTTAAAAAGACTTTCCTTCGACAAACCATCAACAGACTTAAGAACAACTGAATTTATGCCATCATTTCTGAAGAAAAATGAAATTGTATTAGAATCTACAGTAAACCTTTCTATTAGTTTTCCAAAATGCAAATTTTTTTATGATCTATATAATCTGTATCCCTTACCTAATAAAAAGAATTGTCTCTTGCACTTTGTCCAATGTTACATCAGGAAAGTTTATTTTGTCTGTGATCACAACATCTTCTTTGTTTTCCAATAGTTTCTTGGTGAATTTACTTTCAGTTCTGAGACCCATCATGTTTGGAATACTAGTTTATCATCAAAATTAGTATCATTATGGGTCAATATATGTGTCGGCCCTTTTACCTAATCCACCCTGTCAACTTTCCCTGTGGGAGGAAACCGGAGCACCCGGAAAAACCCCACGGCCTTCGGCAGAACGTTGACTTTTTACTCTTTTCACATGAGGACTGGGTTCTAGTCCCATTGAGAAAGTTCTCACTGAGATTTGAACCCTCGGCCTTAAAGGTGAAAGGCAAGTGCGCTAACCACTTTAAAATGTTTTGCCTTAAATTTCATGCAATACCTACAGCTTAATTTATAGTCTGCCAATGCTTTCCTGACTGGAAATTGATTGCTGCAGCTTTGTTACACAGTTATTCACAAAACATGTGTTGGTCAGCTTGACATCTCTGATATTATGGTCAGAGGCATAGCCAGGGCAAGGGGCCTGCCACCCCCCTGGTAAAATGTTGCCCCCCCCCCGGAGAAAATTTATTCTATAAAATATTCTATATATTCTATATGTTGGCCCCTGACCAAAAATCCTGGCTATGCCCCTGATTATGGTATCAAATTACTATCATGGTGCTTCAGTTCTATGGTTATTGTACTAAGGTAGTACTATGGTTTTATGGTGTTATGGTACTATTGACAGTACTATTGTTCTACAGTACTGCATATAGTCCTATGGAACTATGGTTTTATATTTCTATAGTATTATGGTATGGTACTGCACAGTGCTTTGATTTGATGGTACAGCAATACCACAGTATAATGGTTCTATATGGTATTTTGATACAATTGTTTTATGATACTATGGTACTATGTATGGTTCAATTGTGCTGTGGTACAGTATTATATGTGGCATTATGGTTCTATGGTTAGAGTACAATGATACTATATGGTTCTAAGGTACTATAATGGTACTAATCTATGGTTCATTGGTACAATGGTATTATGGTTCTAAGGTAGTCATGTACGGTGAACATATCAATTATAAATTGAGACAATGAAGAGAATGAAACATAACATAATCTTACTTTGTCTCTCTCCTTGGTATTTTTGGTTCAACTTTCACTGCTCTCCACTTGCAGTAGTTGCCTTGGTTAGACTCAATTGCCGTCACTCTAACCGTATGCCCTTTCCGCGGCACATAATTTGTCCTGCACACACCAGATGTAAAAAATATGTCAGTATTTATATACCCATGACCACACCCAACTGATGTAACTGTCCCGGTCAAACTTTTTTCCCGAAGGGGTTTCACAACTTTTACGTCACATACAAGTCCTCTATCTCTGATAACCTCAGCCCGTACCCAATCGCCCTTGCACGGAATATACCCAAATGCGAGCGATGTCATTGGGCAATGAGTATCGTGGCTGACAATCATGTATTTCTCATTAATATCTGTTACGTCGCCAATTAGGACTTCTTCTGTGCCTTCATCACCAAGTTCGTCCCAGTCTGTTGCGATGACTTCAACTTGGTCAGCCCTCCAGCCATCATGAACCGATGCTCTGCTTGCTCTAACCTGAACTTCGGAATTTAGGGCTGGTCTTACCCCACCGATAACTTTATCAAAAGTGAAGTGAACCTCATCATCAACTAGACCTGAATTATCATAAAGTTTAGTAACATATCCAAAAATGACTTTTTTTAGTTCTCCCGTTTCAAATTTCGCGCCATGCAAGTTTATATTATTTTCGTTTTGGGTTTTTGTTGAAAATATTTCATTGTCTGCCCCGTCTTTTAAATTTTTAACTTCGTCTGTCGGTGTTCCATCCCATAATCGAGAAAGAAATCGCGAAACTACTCCAAACATGCTGAAATTAAAACTTGTTTTTAAAAAACTTTAAAATTTGGAAACCCCTGCGCTCGGCCATGTTGTTTTCGAAAATTGAAATTCTGTGACCGGGCTGAATAAAATCAGGGGGGAGTGGCAAGTGCTTTCGCAGTTGAATTCATTGCCAAAAACCTTTTAACTTTTAATTTATCCGTTTATTTGAAGAATTATTCATCTTTTATTAATTTACTGAACAAATAAAATGACTTTTTACTTATTTTATACGTTTTTCTAGCCTTATTGCAATTTCCAAATATACCAAATTTCGATAAGATGTATGCCAACCCCCCTGATAATTAATAATTCGGTCAACCAGACAACCAACAAGAATTCAAGATGGCGGCCAAAGGATGGCTAGAGCTGGAAAGCGATCCGGGTATGTTTTTGACGTTATTTGCACCGCGATTTTTGTCATTTGAAAACATTTTACCGTTGAATAATAATTTAATTCTTTTGTCTATTCCCACAGGGGTATTTTTGCTTTTAATAGAAGAATTTGGTGAGTTTTTATTGTCCAAAATCATCATAGGAATGTTTGTAATTTTTGTTATTGTCTATTTGATTGCATTATGCCCTGATCTTACAGCTTTACTGCTCTAGGCATGCACCAGATATACTGGCCGGATATCGGTCTTGCTTATTTACGGTTCAGGCTATCTTTTCAGGTTGAAAATGAAGCGATGTGGTTAAAATGTAGTGGTGTTTTTTATCATATAGTTTTGAAATGTTAACGTGCTTGGTTGCAAAAGCTTTTGAACTTTGTGAACAAGACATTTCAGCCGTACACATGCATTGATGCAAAGTTCTTCCAGTCATTTTGCTCTCAGTACATACAAGTTGAAATAAATTTTATAGGATTTTCTTGAAAAAAAGTTAAAACACAAATTAGTGAATAATTACTTTAAATTTTAAAACGCACACACAAAGTGAAACAAAATAGACAAGACAAGCAAACACAACAGCGTTGAAGGTGGTATCCATTCAATAGATCTGATTGCAAAAAGCACTAATAATTTGGTGCAACCTTATATATGCTCATTTGGGGATTAATATTCCATGGACAGGAAGCCATTGACATGCATGACCTGAAATAGAGAAAAATATGCCCTGGCAAAGTATTTTTCTTTTTGTCAAATTAAGTCTGCAATATTTTATTTTTTTTGATCTGCCAATTAAAATGGTCCAACTCAACTATAAAGGAAATGAATGTTATTTTCTCCAATGCGACTTTAAATCATGCATTTCAATTATTTATGTTTTTGCCGGATCAGAATTATATTTGCCAAAAATAATTTTGCAATAACAAAATAATAATAATAATTTTACAAAAACAATTTTTTTATTAATGTTTTCCCTGCCATTTTGTAATATATGGGCTGCTTTTGGCCATTGACACAGTGGCGGCGCCAGGCTTCCAAATTTGAGGGGGCATTTGAGGGGCGAACTCAAATTTTGGGGGGGCAAGATAGAATTTTTAAAAAGGTTGCCCCCCCCAGGAAATTCGCCCCCCCCCCTCAAAACGTGGCGATATTCCTAGGAATATCGCCCCCGGGGGCGAATATCCTAGGAATATCGCCTCCCAGGGGGGTGGGGCGAATACCCTAGGAATATCGCCCCTCTTTAGGACATTCGTCCCCCATATATGCGATGTGGTTTATTCAAATAATTTCGTGATACTTTCATCTTATTAATTATTGCCTTACACGTTTGAGAATTTAACTCTGCAAAACTAAAGCTTTTTTGTCTTTTTTTTAAACGTATTATTGGAGTATTGGCAAGTTTTACCATTCAGAGATTTACAAACTAATATTGAAACTGTAAAAAACAGTTTCATGTATACGCGCATTCACTAATGAGTAATGAAAACTTATAAGCCATACATTTTCCGATAACGACAGAACGCTTGTGTAGCCTTTAGTCGCTCTTAGTGACTAATAATTTTTTTTGAGGGGGGGGCAAAAATGGGGGGGCAAAAAATAATTTGGGGGGGGGGGGCATTTGCCCCCCCCCCTGACGCCGCCACTGCATTGACAGCTTGCTATTTCAAACCATAATAGAGCATTAAAGCTATCGCCATTAAGGCTAAGGAATTAACTTGAATGGAACAGGTCTGGAGGTATTGACTGTCAACTCCAAAAAATCCCCGGCTACCTTCGCATCAATAAAATGTGCAGCCATGTGTTTCTTATTCATCTCTGTTTAGGTGTACATGGTGTTCAAGTGGACGAAATTTATGATTTATCCAAACCAATTAAAGGGTACGGATAAAATGACATCACAGATCATTTTCGGATCAGTTGATATACACTTAAAATATGCAATCCTGTATTGTCACTGTATCGAGCATGTTGAATTGAATGTAAATTGGGAAACACTACAGAAGGTGAATCCAATTGTTGCTTTGATTTTCCAGGCATGTTTATGGTTTTGTATTTTTATTCAAATGGAATGAAGAACGGCGCTCTCGAAGAAAGGGAGTGACACCACTTGACGAGGCTTTTGTGGAAAGTGACGATATTGTCAATAACATGTTCTTTGCACAACAGGCAAGTCAGAATATGTGTCATTGGAATATTGCAAATAAAACTCCAAAATTAATATATATTACACTGTAACACACACAACTGGGTTATACTGAATATAAAACGAAGGAAATCACTACTGTACACATCGGTGATTTTATTCGTTATAAAAATCATGTCATTTACATAAACCTTAGCTTTGATTTTCTCGGCTTTAAAAGGTTTATTTTTAAAGTTACTTTGCCAATGAACTCATCAGATGGGTCGTTTTTTAAGCCATTTAAAACAGTCCGTGCCTTATCAGACATAAAACACTTGAGCTGTGTTCTCATGTTTTATATCTGATAAAGCACTCCTGCTTGTGTTTTAAATATACATAAATTGTAACAAACAAAAACAAATTATAAACTATAAAACAAATTACACAAAATGTGATAATTATTCAGTAGTAATTAACCCATTTAGTGCCAGCACTCTCCCCTTAACAGGTAATTTTTCAAAAGTAGGACCTGCATTTAGAAAATAACAAAGTAGGGTGCACTAGGGCACAATGCCACTCAACAGGATGCATAGGCAGATTAACTTATTAAATTGCAGCACTCTCCCATTGACGAAATAAAATTGTCTGGCATTAGACAGAGTAAAATTAAAAAGTAGGGTTTATCAGGCACATTGCCATTTTAATTAAAGGATCAAAGTGGTCTGGTCTTTATCCAAGCAAGCAAATATGTCATTCTTTCTCTGCCATTATTTTTCTAGATAATCCCAAATTCCTGTGCAACTCATGCTTTGCTCAGTGTTTTATTAAATTGTGATGAGCTTCATCCCGGTGAGACATTGAGCAAACTTAAAGAATACACAAAAGGATTTGATCCCGAGGTAGGAGATGATATACAAGATCAAACGAGAATGAGAGTACATCAGAGTCCTGGGACTCCCCTAGAATGAAAAATGGACGCCTTTGGATGCCCAAATTCTGGGGGGGAAAGGGAAATTATTTTCAATTATTTCCCTAAGTATATTAATATATCTGAAGCGAAATAGCTTCAATTCTCATTATTATTATACATTAGACAATTTGATCAATTTGATGGTGTGCCTGGCTGAATGAAAATGTCATATAGCGGCACAAAGCCAAATGTATTTGAAAAAATTCGAACGAGCTTGGAACAGATACTGACATGAAGTAACATAAACTTCAAAGGTTTTCCAGAGGAACGTTTTCTCACCCTCTCACCCTCCCCCCCCCTTTACTGTAGATGTATCGTTCTACCAAAATTGGACGCCGTCTTTTAGGACCCTGGTTAAAAGCCTGGTTCTTAATGCTTTCCCAACACTATCATGTATTTGATTGAAGTTAAAACATAGTTGGAACACTTATCAAACCTTTATTTTGTTAATCTAGAGCTTGAAATGTCCCCTGTAACATTGCATGACTGATGACTGCCAAACTCTCATGCTCATTGACTGAGGCTTAACAGTTAAAGCTTCACATAACATTGACCTCAGCTCCATCCAAGAATTGTTTAATATTACACAATTTGATTTCTTTAGACGAAAGGATACGCTATTGGAAATATTCCTGAGATAGCCATAGCACACAATAAATATGCTAGGTGAGAACAATTAGTTCAAATATTTAGTTATTAAATAGAATATTTGAAGCAAGATTAAGGATAGCAAGATTAAGAACACTATACCTTATAGCTTTCCGTAGGGACGCGCGAAAGCACCAATCCGATACGAAATGTACAACTTTCAGAAGCTGAGCGAAACAACATCTCTCTGTTGCAATAAATCCTCTGAAAATAGCGTTCCTAAAGGTAGGGGTAGGTGTTTTTTCGCATTGCCATACAGAAAGCTATCCAGTTTGTGTAAACATAGTTTGAGATATAAAAAATATAAGCAGTACAACGCATCTTATTATAATGTTTTGTTGCTTTTTTAGACCAATTCATCGCATTCTCCCGGACAGCAAGCCAGGAAACACGTTGTCAACAGCCAAAGCAGGGGAAACATTTCATTTCGTTAGTTATATTCCGATCAATGGAAGACTATTTGAATTAGATGGATTGAAGCCATACCCCATTGACCATGGTACGGGAAAACCTTCGGATTGATAGGGATACAACTGCCTGACAGGGGCGGGTCTGGCCTGATTTGTTAGAGGGGGTGGAGGTTTTCCAGAGGGATGCATTACACAGCAAAAAATCATTTTCTTATTTTAAGAAAAAAACAACTTGTTTTAAGAAAATTTTCTTGAAATAAGAAAATATTTTCTTGGGAGAATAACAAGAAAATTTTCTTAATAAGAAAATTTTCTTAAGAAAATTTTTCTTATTAAGAAAATTTTCTT